TGGAGATACAGGGGATTGAACCCAGGACCTCGTGCATGCTAAGCACATGCTCTACCACTGAGCTACACCCTCCCCACCAGTTTTTATTTTTTTATAAGCCAAAAGGCTGACTTGAGTTTATGCTAAGGGACTCTGAGGAGACAGCCTGTATTTAAACACCCCTTTTCTCTGACACAGAGCATCCAGTTGCCACCCTCACTGTGCGTTTACAAACATAAGCGTTCTCAACTTCCCCTCAGCCTGATAAGAATTTATAAGTGCTTTCAAAATAACAAGAAGTTCATACCTGGGAGGCCTGTCTCAGACCAGCCACATACATGGAGCATTGGAATCTCTACCATTAACTCAGTGTGTGATTTTTCAATAAATTAAAAGGCACTAGATTGTCTTCCTTCTTAGCCAAATAACCATAATCACTAGGGTTGGAGAGGGAAGGAATCTGATGAGGAAGGTAGGCTGTACCAGAAGCCCCCATTTCTATTGGAGTTTCCCCTGGCCTGGTGTTGACCCTTGTTGGGCCAGGGTATTAAATTCTTTTTTTTTTTTTGATGGAAGTACTGGAGATTAAACCCAGGACCGCATGCATACTAAGCATGTGCTCTATGACTGAGCTATACCCACACTTCCCTGGGCCAGGGTATTAAACTGGGGACATGTCCTTTCCATCTGGACTGACTCCTTTGAGGCCCAGATGCCGTCACTAAAGTCTGATTCCCTTTTGTATTTGAAGGTGCCTAGAATCCTAAAGATATAACTTCTCAAACCTCAGCAGCCCATTTCTACAAAGCTGTTGGGGTCTTTGTTCAGTTATTTAACTTACCAACTGGTGACTCTTTTGACTTCTGCTGCCAAACAGGGTCTCAAGACAAAAATGGTCTCTAGCCCACGTGAAAAAACTAAGGTGACCTGTTCCGACTCTGGAGCAGACACGGCTTAGTGTTAAGGGCCTGGACCCTGATAGCAGATGCACTTGGGGTGAAATATTGCCTCTTTGTGACCTTGAGTAAGTGACTGACTGTCTTTGTGCTTCACTTCTTACCATGTAAAATGGGGGTGGTGACGACATAAGTGAAGTGTGTATGTCACATGAGATCGTGTACATGGTAGCAGTAAACATTCACTGTTTTTCCCAGCCAGGCAGGATTTCCCGGGGAGCCATTGGAACTTTTCCCCAGAGACCTGCCAGGGCTGCCCACACTTTGGAGCCCTTTCAGGTGTAAGTGACAGAGACATCATAGCGGGGACTATGGGTACGCCTCCCAGCTGTTCCTCCTGCCTCCCGGGGGGCAATCACTGGTTCCCGAGAAGATGGCCAAGGCAACAGCTGACTTGGAACCTGCAAGTCTGGACTGGGGCCTCACCCCACCACTCTGCAGTTGGGGTTTTCTTTCAGGGCATACTGCTGCTAGATGTCGCAGGGCCCAGAACATCGGTGCAGGGGATGGGCAGAAGGGAGGAGCCCACACCTTTGCCAGCTACCTGGTCTATGAACGTCACATGGATCTGAGAAAGTGGCTTAACCGGATGGGCCCCCAAGCCCAGCCTCCGAGAAACCTAATCTAGGCTCAGCCAGGCTTTTGTTAAATCGCTGATCTAAGAGGCTGGCAAATCCATTAAGAACTGTATCTGGGAGGCGATGGACGGCCCAGGCAGCTCCAGGGCCCACAGACTCATTGTCACTAGAAGGGCTGGTGTGCACAGAGCTTTTCAGTTTGCAGGGGCTTTCACGCTGCATCTCGTGTCAATCTCCGAACAATCCAGTGGGTTGGGCAGAGTTTGGAAGAGAGAAAACTCCCCATGGAGTTTTATATCTGCAAATAGCTTTGAGGTCAGCTGCTTCAACCCCTATGCTATGCACATAACGAGAGGAAAGTCCAGAGAGGACTGGGTGATTGAGCTAGTGAGGAGCAGGGCCAGATGTGGTGACGAGGCATCGGTCCTCCTCCCATACCACACTGCACCTGAGGCCTGGGAGCCCTCGCTTGGTTGGGAAGACAGTCGCCCTGAAAGCCCAGGCCTAGATCTAGTCTGCTTTGTACCTGACCCTGTGTCTCCATCACCAGTGCAGTCAGTTTTAGCAATAGTCCTTGGGGTGGGGTTGGGGGCAGAGGGGACAGAGCCAGCCTGGGTGTCTGCCCTAAGGAACCTCTGTGAGTCTGCAAGTCCAGACTGGGACTCTCAGGCCTCAGGCAAGAGTTCTTCAATATGAGGATGAGTCAATCCCAGCTCAGGGAGCATTCCTTGGCCTGCCCTGCTTTCCCCAGAATCCCCTCAAGTGCTGGAATTTAGTATGCAACTTGAAAGGTTGATTCCCAGCTTTAATCCATCAAAGTTGCTGAGCACAGACTGTTTTCCCAGCACTGGACTTGGTGGTGCCACCCGAGGTCAGGGGCTACCCCTTCCTCACTGAAGGACCCAAGAGTTTTCAGCACAAGTGAAGAAGGAGGGGGAAGGGAGGGAGGAGGAAACTTTATGGAGGGGGCTGGGTGGCCTTTACACTTTCAATTCCCCCAGAGCCGGGTGAGGCTAGCCGCCCCTGTGGTCTGTCTGGGTGGAGAGGGTGAGGTTGCCCACATGGGCACATTTCCTCAGAAACACATCTGCTCAACTGCACGACAAGCAGCAACTTTGCTAACTTATTTAGCATCCATTAAGTTCATATTCAAATGAAAATGCTGGGAAGGCAAGGAGAGGCATGGGGTTACAACAGTGCAGAGGCTTGGAGAGGCATTTCAAATGTATGAAGATCTGCACACCAGATGTTGGTTTCGCCTCAAGAAAATAAAATGATGAAACAACGCAGTACAAAACACTGAAACCAAACCTCTGCTTCTGAGAGCAGAAAGGAAAAGTCTGCCCTGTCTCCGGCCCTGCCTTCTCCGGTCCACTGCAAATTCACATGCCAAGGCTGTCACTGGGGCCAGTCACAGGGTCCAGCTCTCAATGCGAATTACACGGTTATGACTAAGGCTATTAATGTACATGCAAAAGACTCTCCTTGCACATGGAGGGTCTCAGACATCAGCTGGGGTTCAGTGGGCTGTGCTGATGAACATGCAGCCCCCCTCAGCCCCCTGCAGTTGCAGGCCAAAGGGCAGAGCATCTGAATGAGCCCCTGAAAGCTCTCTCTGCATTGCTGAGATGGTCAGCTAGCTGAGACCAGGCCCCTTGTCCTAGCAGGAAGGGCTGCATCCAAGCTATTCCTGCAGGCTGAGGCTCCCCCTCCACCCCTCATTGGTGCCCAGGGAGCAACGCAACAGCCCGGGTAATGCCTGATGCCCAATAGCCCATGCCCAATAGAGACTCAGGGAAGGGTCCTCCACTTGGATGAAAACCTACCCTGGGGGCCCACTCACCCTGATCCCAGGAATGATGGGGGACACGTGGCTGCCAGTCTCTTGGGGCTCTCCTGTGGCCTTATGAATCCCCTCCTTGCCACAACTGTCTTCCTTAACCTGTGCTGTGTGATATTATGGAATTGCCTCAAACCAGGTTTTTGAGGGGAGAACCCAGAAGGGACCCATGTGGCAGGACACCTGGACGAGGTATCCAGTCACTCCCCAGAGCTGCCTCTGGCCATCACCCTTAAAACCACAAAGGCCCGGTGACAATGAGCAGCACTTTTAACGTCGCCACCAAGCTTGGAGGCACAAACCCAGGGGAAGGGCAGGGGTCTGGATGGAGCTCTGGGGAGAACTCTAAGTGCAACTGAACAAGGAAACGGGCTGTGGCTGCTTCTGCTGATGCTCTGGGAGCAGTCCTCCTCTTCTGTCCCTTCTAAGAGCCCCCTCTGCATGTGACCTCGACACCCAGCCCATCACTGCCTGCTTTATGACTCTCAAAGTCTCCCGTTAATGGACAAGACTGCTCGGTTACTGGGATCTTTCTGAAGCCTTTGCAACACCAGCATTTCTTACTTAGGTGGATGGCCCTGTCCTCAGGCCCAGGTAAGCTTGTGTTCCTGGGGAAATAAGCACCTTTGCTCCCTGACAAAGGGGAGGAGGAGTGCTCTGCCCACAAACCTACCAGGCCGTGATGAGCAGTATGTGTCAGCTGGGGTGGGTGCGGTGGCTGGGAGAACAGCCACTGAGGTCACTTTCACTGAATTTCTTTCGGTTCCGCAATTGCACTGTGCTCCCTCCCATCCCAGAGCCCTACAGAGCCCTCGTACCCACAACCTGGCTGTTCTGACCTCAATCACTCGTTCACTCATCATACGTCT